CTCTGGGTGAAGCAATCCTACCCGGACAACTACACTGATCAGGTCACCTTCTTGGAGAACCTCAAGCGAAACCCCCGGTTGCAGCCCTACGACTTTTGGCCCCTCGTCGCCGATTCGACCGTCATCCTCCAGCACGTGTGTTCCGTCATCATCTTCGTCGTCTGCTTCAGCGGCATCCTCCAGAAGCGCGTCTCGCCCATGGCTGTCGTGTCTTGGAGCAGCATCGCCTCCTTCGTCGGCTGGCGCCTGTGGGAGCAGTGGGACGCCGACGAGGCTGATGCCGCCATTGACCTGACCCCCGGCTCTTCCACCGGCCTGGCTGCCAGCCGCCCTGGTGCCATCGGGCGCCGTGGTGGGAGCATGCGCCATCGGCCCTCCTTGCCGCCACCGGCCCCTTCACTGCCGGCTTCGACGCGGCCCTCGTCCGCCATTCCTTCGGCCACCAGTTCCGTGACCAACCTGTCTGCCCAGAGTTACGCGCGTAATTCCTACTCCGCCTCGGCCACCTCCCTCCACTCAGCCACCTCGACATCAGTCCCTTCATCGTACAAGCCGATGCAGGAGCACACATCGACAGTGTCATCGTCATCATCACCACCACCACCACCGCTGCAAGAAGATGATCAGACGACGAATGTCATGCACCAACGCATCGGCACCCTCAAGTCCGCCATCCTCATCTCCAGCACACTCCTCGGCCTCTCTCCCATCCTCATGTCCCTGACCCTCTCCACAACCTGCGACTCGATCTACGCCATGTCCTTCTGGCTCCTCGCTGTCAACATATTCTCCTTCGACTACTCGACCGCCCCCTCGGCCTCCTCAGCACGCACCCCCGCCTCCCTCTCCACGAACGCCGCCCTCATGGCCTCCACCGTCCTCGCCTCCCGCCTCCCCTCCTCCCCCAGGTCTTCTCCCTGACCCTCTTCTCCATCGAGGTCTTTGGTCTCTTCCCCGTCTTCCGCCGCAGTGCCCGCCACCGCTCCCCGGCCTACCACTACGCCCTTTCCGCCCTCCTCGTGCTGGGCGCTGGTGCCGGCGTCGCCATCGTCATTGGCGAGCCCGCGCCCTCCTTTCCTTGGCAGCGCGCCGTCGCCGGCATGGTCGTCAGCGTCTTGATTTCGGCCCTCGTCATGGGCGGGTGCAGCTGGTGGCTCATTGGGTTGCAAAAGTACAAGAATGAAATCTACGGGCCGTGGGATCCCGCGAGGCCTGTCATCATGAGTAGGCGGCAGTGGGACTAGCCTGTTGTACAAGTAGGCCTTGGAACCGGGACTTGGCGTGGTGCCCTGTTCGCATACTGTCAGAATGTAGCAATGATATGTAGACATTGGCTTCGATCCTTCTGTTTTCTCAATGGCTATCAAGTTTTGGTTTCTCCTATTTCCTTCATCACGTAGCAAGTCGTGCCGCCGCATTGTCCCGCACACGTAAGCAAACGACATCCGCTGCCCTCTTTGGTAGTCATGGAACTTCGTAAGAACACGGTCCAGTCTTGCGGAGAAGAGTTCAGCCAATCCGCAACAACTACCTGAGCAAACCATATCCCTAGACTGGGTCTCATGCACTTGACTCGACTGCAAACAGCAAGGCGTTCCAGCGCACACACACACACGGCTCCTCTGCTCACACAAAGTTGAACACAGTCCACTCGCTACACTGGAGCTCCGTCCGGTCATTCTCATCAACGCGGCGAGTCCAAGGGTTCAATACGACCAAGAGGTCCTGGATGTCATGTAGGGCGTGAGATACCCGCAAAACAAGATATACAATGTTGGTCGTATTGTCTCGTTTGTGATGCTGTAGAGCCTGGGTCGGTCAGCATCTTAGTCTCCTCCCGCACAGGGCTGGGCCACTTACAAAGTGATTTTGCGTCTTATTCAAACCGAAAGGCGTCGACACTTCGCCGGCAGTAATCTTGACATCGAGACAGTAGGTGGTTCCCGCCTTCATCTGCGGTGCAATGTGTTCAAAACTGTCAGCCCTGAGATGAAATCTCTTCGAAAACTTGAGCATGGTCTCGTCTCCATCGTCGACGTATCGATAGCAGTCGGGCATCTCGGCTCCATACGGCTGCCAGCCAGGGAGTAATTCGCTCAGTAGGGCCTCCACCTGCGGGAGTTTCAGCAACGAGGACTTGGACACATTAAGTTGGGCTTACATTTTGTCTCACTCCAGGGTATCCTGGCTCGTGAGGAATCGGCGGGACGTCCACCTCGATTGCCGACTCCGATGGGAGCTCATCAGCGTCGTCGATTGCCAAATCATCATATACGTCTGCGTCATCGCTGATCCTGTCAACACTGGGCGGAGTCGTGATCCTTTCAACGCGCTGTCTCTTGCGAGTATGAGATGACTCCTCAAATCTGGAATGACGGCGGACGTTTCTCAGAGGCATGGGATTCGATGTTGGAGACGATGCCGAGGGAGCTGTCCCAGGGCAGTGGTGCGCCGTTTCCTCCAGTTTAACCTCAGCAGCTTCAGTGGCTTTCTTGAGAGCGTCTGGCTTGTCGGGGGCGCCGCCCTCGAAATCTTCGTCGTCAAACAGACCCGCGTCGTTATCTTCAAAGGAAATGCCGCCCAAGTCGAAATCATCTGGGCCGTCGCCCACAACCATGGCGTTTTCTGTTAGAACAGATCCGATCACCTGGTCTCCCTGTTTCTTCTCAGACGGACCATTCTCGCTCTTGGCTTTCTCCCACTCGTCCACCTTGTCAAACGCCAGCCCGTTGTTATCATGCACATCATGCTTGTCGAGAAAATCCATGATCTGATCCGGATCCACTCGCATTATGAAAGGAACCAGCCGAGACCACCGCGCATCGTCAATGCCGCAAGTTCTGACGACCATACTTGAGAAGTCGTCTTCGAGGTGCATCACATCCGCCTCGGTGAGAGTGGTGTGATAAATGACGATGCGGTCATCGAGCTCCTGTACATGGTGGCGACGCGACGCATCTCGTATCGGGTCGCATCCATCGAGGTTTCTCGTGATGTTTATGCATGAGACCGTCTTAACTTCGGTTTTCTTGAGCCGATCAAGCATTTCGGCGGTCGGGTTGCTACTGAGCCTGAGTCGTGTTAGCCTGACCAGTAACGTGAATCTGAGATTCGAAAGAAACATCGAGTCGTACCTGCAAAATTGTGCAGCCCTAGAACGGAACGAGGTTGTCATGTTGCGATCAACAGTTTGTCCCCGATCGTTCCAAGTCACTTCTTCCGTGACAGCCTTGGAAAGTTGTCGATGGTGCAGCCCAAACGCGCCCACGAGGCTTCTTCGGAGACTCGCATCTACGTCGAGAAGCTCGACCTTACCGATGAACATCTTTTCCAGCTCCGGCCTGTCTGGGATATACCAATTCATGTCTCGAAGGCTGCCAAAGCAGTCGGCCCCTCAGTGTCGCTACTGCGGTGCGAACAAGTCTTGACAGGGAATAATTGTGCTCCCTCGATCTCGTCTCGGTCTTGCTCCTCTAGTTCAGCAAGTCTCCCATGAGGAAGCAATGCAATGAGGTCTCGAACAAGATGTTTAACCTTTTCAATACTTCCCCCATTCTGGGCTTTAGCCTTTATCTCGCGTGCGATATCACCTGTGTTGATGCTTCGAATCTCGAGGTAATCCCTGAACAGACCAGTATAGCCTTCATACACCTTGGGCAGGGGCAATCCGGTTTCAACGTAGTCAGGCCGACGCCATATACAGTCAGTCGGATAAGCCCATTGGGGATTTGGGCCGCTGATGAAGATCAAGGGCTGCTGTGTAAATGCAGTTCTGTATTTTCCTATGAGTTACATTAACGTCCAACAAGGGCGAGAAGAAAGACTTACCGGATCTGAGGTTGAAAGTCTCGGGCACTTATGCTCAGCTTTCTATAAAATTCGTTGACCGATTCTTGGGTGACTGCAGATGCTGGCCTTTGGGCGATTCGCTGCAGTTGTCCCAGGGCAGCCCTGGAGTTAAAACTTCGCGATACTCCAGCTGCAGACAAAAACTCCTAGCTTTTGTCTTTTGGCTCCGGTAAGCGAACAAAGTCAAGGTCAGGGCAGAGTCGCTGCAGCTGTTCGGTAGGTAAGGCTGTGCCTGCCAAGGTTTTGACTTGGTTGTTCATCAGTTGAACGCGAATGTTACCCATGGCGGCCCCAACTTCGCCCATGTGACTGAAAGATTGGTGGTCATTCTTGTACATGTCTTTCAGGTAAATCAAGAGCTCATTGCCTGCATTTTGACTGAGAACGAGCCATTCTCTAGTCAAACAGCCCTTATGTACGAGTCGGGGTCGTGAGGATACTCCCGGGAGCTGCTGCAACCAACTGATGAATTCATATTTGGTGTTCCCAGTGAATGCGTCCATAATATCGCTGCTGGGGGTTCGTATCTCCGAGCTAGGATCGGCAATGAGTCTAGAAAGGAGAGGGCAGTGGCTAGACGGATCCTCCACATACACATGCTCTGCGATCGACCTATTGCCGGCCACCAGGAACCATCGAGGTTTCTTGTCCATCGTCTCTAGAAGCTTCTTCTGTCTGAAAAGGAACAGGATGTCGAGCACCCAGTTAAGCGGCTTCCGCGTAGGTCTCGGAATCGTTGCGTGCTTTTCCAGAATCAAAGAACAAATCGTTTCAGCGTCCAGCTTTTTGACACCGAGGTAAGTGTAGAATTCCCGTCGATGTGGATCTTTTGCAGCTTGTGAATGAACGATTCGAATTCCAAGATCAGAGGGCACATTCAAGACTGCTCCCGTTGACGTTGACGGGAAAAAGATGTCGCCGCTCGCACAGGCTGCCCAGCTCCCGTCTGCTAGATGAACCAGAGGTAGTTCCTGAAGCTTGTCTTTCTGCTTGCTGCGGCCTTTCCACATGAAGGCCGCAGCCAGTGCCACGTGCCACTTGTCAGACTTCGCGGCAAGTCCGGCATGGCCAGCACGTTCGAGCCAATCGCTGAATTCGTTACGAAGACCTGCACTAGTCATCTCCTTCATGTCGAGTGTCTTCAACTTCTCCAAGACAGGGTCGTATTCGAACGCCAGATGATGGCCGTGGTTGATTGTCGCATCGATTAGGAAGCCATTGTCAAAGCGGTACTCTGTTGGAATGACAATGAGTGGTTTGTGGGCAGCAGTCTGCTGAGTGCCCGCAGGGCATGGAATAGGCCGCACAGCCCTAAAGCTGCCATCTCGAGCTTCAAGAACGTCCTCATCGCACAGTCTTTTCTTGATTCCTTGATGAACCTCTGCCCAGGGGGAGCTCTTCGGGCCGGTGTACTCGAGGAAGAGAGGCCATTCGTATTTCAGACTGTATCCGTGTGTTGCACCGGGATGGTTGAAGTGATGAACTGCTTGCACGAAGGCATCGGGAACAGCCTCAAGGATTCTTTGGTTCCACGGCAGGGCATGCTGCAGTGCCTGGCGATTGGCCACAAGAAGGAAGTCGGCCTGCACGATGAACTAGATAACCATGTTCGTTACTATGGCAGACATATCCCAATAAGCCAGGTGAACTCACGTTGAATCCAGACTGGTCGATTGGCAGAAAAGCAAAAGCGTCGCATGTCTCGAGCTCGGAGCCAACAGGGAACGCCAGTGTGATCTCGGTGCTGGAAACGCTATTCCGGCGGGCATCGACAGGCATGTCATGCAATTCGTATCGTACAATGCGATACAGCTTTGTGGTCTTCACGGGCTCATCGAGTGGGGATGCGGTACGATCCTCAATCAAAGAAACAGTTTCTCCGTCGTATCTTGGATCCCGATCCTGGCGAGCTGACCTATACACGCAATGTCCGTTTTCGGCCTTTATATTCAGCACGCTCAGCTGACGCAGGAACAAAAGCAACTCCGGCTTGATTTGCTGGAGTCCTTTGGTTATGTCAGAAATTCTGTGGTCTTTGTCCCTGAGAAGATGAAGCAGCATTTGGGTGTGCCCCTCACGTCTCTGAGTGTCAGGGAATCTATGCGGCTTCGGATCGAGCATGCCCAGGTGGGCTGTGCGGTCAATTCGAAATTCATAAAAGTTGCTCAGGATGTCGACTTGATGGGCAACTTTGAAGACGCTCTTGAACCCAATGCCCTTCTCGCCAATGAACCCTTTCTGACCATTAATAATCCCGGTTTTGGTGCTCTTGCCAATACTGCAAATAGCATCGATGTTCTTCAAAGAGAAGCCGGTCTCGTTGCAGTCGGTACGAAGTGTGTAGTTGGATCCATTCTTGCCGAGGACAAGGCTGAATGTAGGCCGGACGCCACGTGGATACGCGTTATCGTCCGCATTCTGGATGAGCTCCAAAATAAAGTGAGTTGGCTTGGAGTTGAGCTGCGACGCCAGAATATCAAGAGCACTTTCGAGGTTTCGGGCAACAAATCCATGCTGCTCTGAGCCAAGTCCACGCTGCTGCCGAAGCTGTTCGAGCTGTCGATTGGCTTCTCTTAGGTCGTCTGCAGACTCGCTGCCGCTTTCCCCGAATTCCATCGTCACAATGGCGGAAGGGAATACGTAACGATAGATCATGTGACAGGAACTCTGTCCAGGGGGCGAACTCCACCAAGATGATGATGGACAGACAGACGAGGTGTGTCTGCGCCACAGGGTCCCTCTCGCTCTCGCTCTCTCCGTTGAGTAAGGGAAATGAGCCAGACAGCGGATCCAACAGGGCGGGAAATGTATGTGGGTCGATGATGCTCCGTGGGAAGGGAGAGTGGAATGGAAGTTTTGTTGCGAAGCTTTCCAGGCCTCTGGGGTAACAATGGGTTGGGAGCCCGCGATAAAAGCAGGCAATGGCAGGTGCAGCCAGTGAAATGATATTCCAGGCATCAATGCCAGTACAGGCCGACAAAGAAGGGAGAGCACACAAGAAGAATCACGCAAGTTTTGGCAAGTACGGGCCTGTTGGGAGCTGTAGGACGGGCGACAATGTCTGGCTGACTCCATATACAACTCCCGCATGAAGGCACGCTGAGGCACGCTCGCCGGGACTTTGCTTGACTCCCGAAGCGAAGGTCTCTCAGAAAATCGGGGAGGTAGAGTGTGGCGTTTTGCGGACCAAAAGCGTCATATTGACGGGTTGACAGACAAACACGGTGGAAGAAACATGCGGGCAACTGAAGACAAAGAGGCGAAGAGATTTGCGGACAGACACCATGCTGAGATCAAAGAGCCAGACGTCCATTTACATGGTCAATGCAGGCTCTTGAACCACTTCATTTTGTTCAAGTGCCGGATGCGTTCGTACGAGACAAGACCAGGACAGAGTTTCGAGGATAAAATGAGGCACCAGGAACATGACAACATATATAACTCGGCAACTGCCGTGGACGTGTTGGGCTGTTCGGCAGAGTAGTACCGACAAAAACCCACCCAATATGGAGAAATTGATGTCTAACCGATAGTCCCGAAGGTAAAGAGAACCTGGTGGACGGGCGATATGAACCCCTGTGCCTGTGCCTGTACAAGTATGCGTGCCAGCACCTAGGTATATTCAGGTCCGTTAAGGTAAATACCGTGCCTGCCTGTAAGGTACCTGCACCGAGTGGATAAGTGGACGTTTGACTCGTGGCCAGGGCCCCTGAACCGTGACCCAGCAGCATTGTCGCTCCACCCTGATAGCTTTGTGGGAAAGAGCGTGCCAATCAATTGATCTGTTGATGTTCCTAAACGGACTAGACCAGTACTGATGGCAGCCTAGGAAAAGCTTCTGGGGTCCGATACGATCGCCCCTGGCGAACTTGACAGGGAAGGAGCCCCCGGGACCTACGTGGTAAGCTTTGCTGACGTGGGGATGGAAGGCGCGCCTTGGGAACCTGGGGGTCAGCACCTTGGGCTGGAGTCCATTTATCGTCGCCAGCTCCCTCGTGAAGACAGGTTCCCCTATCTTCCTTCCACACCTCACCACGCTCTCTACCTCTCTCACAGTACCTTTCTTCACGGCAAACCGGCTGCACATCGCACAGCACTTTCCACCCTTGACTTCTGCTCTACACCATCACAATGAAGTACGCCCTTGTCTTCGTCGCCGCCGGCCTTGTCGCCGCCCAGGACTTTGGTGGTCAGCCCAGCTGTGCTGTAAGGCCATTCCTCTATCCTCAACTCGCATCTCAACCCTACTAACGCGACGCTTTCCAGCTGCCCTGCCTTCAGACCGCCCTGCCCCAGGTCGGCTGTGCTCTCCAGGACACTGCCTGCCAGTGCACTCCTGAGATCCAGGCCCGCCTGCTCCCCATCGTCGGTCCCTGCCTGCTCAGCTCCTGTGGCTCGGCCGAGGTCGCCCAGGCCCAGTCCGCCGCTGGCGCCGCTTGCTCGGCCTTCCTGGCCACCGCTACCGGCTCTGTCACCCGCGCCCAGTCCGGCTCCGCCACCCCCACCGCCTCGCAGTCCGACGACGACGACAGCTCCTCGGCGAGCCCGACTTCCGCCGTGCCCACCAGCAGTGTTATCAACGCTACCTCTGCCATTTCCAGCTCCATTCGCCCTGCCTCGACCGCCACTGGTGGCAGCGGCGCTGCCGCCACCCCCGTCGCCCTCGCCGGTGCCGCCATGGCCGCCATTCTCGGTGTTGCCGCTGCTCTCTAAGCGCAGCGTCGCAGAGAGAGAGAGAGAGAGAGAGAGAGAGAGAGAGAGAGAGAGAGAGAGAGAGAGAGAGAGAGATGTTTCCTTGGGTGTCGAGATGGAAAACATAATATGGTCGAAACGGGATTTTGCGAGGCGTCGGAGCTGCAAGGCTGGGCTTCCCTGCTCGGCCGTTTTGTTTCAGCAATAGGCAAGGTACATTAATACAATTCACTTGAGGCCTTGTCGAATTGGACCGCCCGTGACCCATAATCGCCTTGTTCTTCAGCACATTCCCATGTTCGAGTAATGGAGTAGTCCCTTGATATTTAAGGAGCTCTGAGACAAGAGACTGTACAAAATAAAGCTAAGCTGGGATAGTGTTGCGAGTGTGGATTACGGTCCCTCATCATCATGCCATACCAACAGCGCGTATCTTAGCTCAATCAGTCACAATGGCTAGGCGTGCACTCATATCTTGCTTCTGATGGCAGGTGGTTTAAGTCGTCGCCAGACGTTGTGGTTGCGGGGTGTCACAATCGGTTTTGTTACACAACATAAGCTGGTAAACGCATGGCAAGTGCTACAGCGTACGTCTCCGAGGAACATTGGCTACTCGCTTGCTCCAGAAACCGGCAGATCCACATCGACCAACCACGGCACGTTTGTCGGATGGTAGTGAATGTCCATGATCGCGGCATTCAAGAACAATGTCTGCTCGCCAAACCGTAGAGGCGAGGGCCCGCTTGAAGATATGTCAAGAGGTGCGCACTTCTCCTCGTACATCTTCCTTCTCCTTTCCATCTTCGTCTCTGCCTCCTCTTTGCTATCCCACTCGCCTGGAACGAGTCGGTTCAAGTTGTGTAAAACTCTCGATTGTCCCCAGTCCACGGCATTATTGAAGTGAACATTCATCGGCATGTCCAAAGGGCTTCTCCAAGTCACAAGTTCGGCGCCCCAGGCCTCATGGATGTGGCCGAAGCAGTGGATCTTGGGCCTGGCTTTTGCAACAGCACCGAAAAGCTGCGGGCAGCCGGCTTCGTCTCCGCTTCTGCACTCGTCCATTACTCTCTTCGGGGGCCCATGCGTGATGGCGATGTCAATACCCCCAATCGGCATGTCATAGTCGTGCTGACCATAGGGGTACTGAAACGCCCATCCACCGAACTCGGGCGTCATGGGGGAGGCATACACGCGCAGCCTCGCGCCATTCTGTAGCTCCACCTCGTGCGGGCCTTCCTCGAGGTAGCGCACGCCGTCTTGTTTTGCAGCCTCAATGATGGCGGCAACCTGATCCGGGCGTTTCATGTAAAGTTCCCTCTTTTTCCCTGTGAGGTACTTAGCTTGGAAGCCATGAAGGGCGTGATCCTCCCAAAAAGCGCGATCGAGAGCGAGATCATGGTTGCCAGCTATAACAAGCTTGAGAGGTGCATCAAGCGCCCGGATCATGGAGAAGGTGGCCTCGAACTCCTCAACATTCGAGCCCAACGTAAGGTCGCCACAGTGGATGGCGATGTCTGCCTTGGGTAGAGGGTAACGGTAGGCCTGTGTTGGCGGGTTCGTAGTCTCATCGGAGCCAGCCTCAAGAGGTTTCTTGCCGTGAGTATCGGAGATGACGAGGATCCTCGTCTTGATATTTGATGCGGCCATTCTGGTAACCGACGTTTGGTTTGAAAGGCAAATGCAGAATGAAGAATGGTGATCCACCACTCACCGGCGAATGGGACAACATCCAATGGAGGACTGAATCTCAAGAAATATTATGGAGAGACGAGACCCAGGTTGGAAGGATAGGAGGCACATTAATACAGATACTTGAGTATCTGGCCAACAACCAGTCTGGATGAGGTGCTCCGAAGGGAACAAGGAGGAGAGGGGAGCAGTGGGGCAATGGCCATGAGCGCAGCCTACTGGTGGTACAAGCCCGCGGCCACTACTGCAGCCCCGCGTCGGTAAAGTGGACCCTCCAGGTACGGCGGCAGTAAAGGCGGGCATGAGACGCTAAATCCTTACAGACCTAGGTACTCCACGTCTCGACTGTGACGAACCTACAGCATCCATCATTCCCTCACGACTTCACTCCACGGCATCGTCGCCCATCTCATGACCAAGTTGCGATCGACTGCTTCACGATGGAAACGAAGTCAGAGGAGAAGGATGTCCCCATGACAAACTTGCCGCCAGTGGCACCGGCTGGCACCGACGACAAGGAGCCTGTCTATGGCGGCTTCACGCGCTTCGAAATCGAGCTAGAGGTCAGTTTGGTGCTCACCTACGCGTCCTGATATGTTGCGTAACCCACTGTCTGGTCGGCGGTCATGTGGCATATTTGCTGACAATCAAACAGTTTGTCCAGTCACTTGCGAACCCAGCCTACCTGAACCACCTTGCCGCTCAGAAGCTCCTCAGCAAGCCCGAATTCGTCGCCTATCTCGCCTACCTCCAGTATTGGTCCAAGCCGCCATATCTGAAGTACCTCATGTACCCCGGACCTACGTTGAAACATCTTGAGCTTCTGCAACAGCCGCAGTTCAGGCAGGATATCATCAGTCCTGACCTGGTTCAGAGGCTGGTTGATGATGGCATGCGAGCAGCCGTGGAGTGGCACCACGACGACGACAAGTGAGGATTGATAGACACGGGAAGAATGTCTTTAGCGGCAGACTTTGCGAGGCCAATATTCACAACACATCAACGAACAACCGGCCAATATGACTCTACAAACGCACAATAGCGATGTGCCGGCCCCAAGCTAGAGCAACAGACGCCAGCGCGTGTACACATAAAGCAGTCAGTATCAGGTGCTGACAGCACTGCGATATCGTGCATAGAGTGCATTATCACGGGTCGCGAGAAGATGGAAAGATACCCATGCCATTCAGAGGTTAAGAATAGGCCGTCGAACCCACGTTCCGAGATCAAACCCCAACGCCGCGCAATACCAAATCATTTCACGAGACTGCTGCTCCAACTCTTTGTGTCGAGCGTCTAATTCTCTCTCCATCGGTTGCCGCAGGCCATGCACTGTAGACGTCAGCTAAAGGTCTTGCCTCGCGGGGCATTACATTGCCTACCTTGAAGAACGTTGTCATCGGCTCATCCGCAGACCGGATCTGAACCTGGAAGAAGGCCGCCTCATCGCCATTGCATCCTTCCTTGGGGCACTGCGCGCGCGCCTTATCGGCATTGTCCCACTCGCCCGGGCCGCCAAAGACGTCCTCGCGCTCCTTGCGCTCGAACTCGCGGCGCGAGTAGATGGGTGCTGTGATGGGGTGTTCAAAGGGGCATGTGCGACACTCGAGGCGGTTGCGAACCGAGCCAACTGCCGAGACAGTGAGGATATTGGCGCAATTGGGGCAGACTGTTTCTTGTCAGTGAGATGAAGGGAGATCATGACGGCCTTCAGAAAGGCTTACACACGAGCATCTTGAGAGATGATCAGGCGGAATGGCAGAGGCTGCGTGCTTTAGAAGGCGAGACAGATAGCAAAGAGAAGTCTTGCATCCGCAAATGTTCCTTGCTGGAAAGATGACTCGGACCAATCTCACAATCTGTCGCTGTCTGTCGTCCAATGTGTGGTAAGATTTTGGGGCATCACAGTCTTGCGATACTCGTCCAGCGGGTTCAAAAAAGACTGAGGCCCCACCCAGCACCCTCCACGTGCATGAACCCGATAGTGAAAGCCACGACATGCCCCGCATTGAATTTAAACGGCGTACTGGCCTATCACATGAGAGATGCTTGTAACGTCAGCTCACTGCCACCTCCTGGCCTGCCGGCCGTGCCTCGCAAACGACTCATATGCCCGTCCACTCTCTCGCCGCGAGCCCAATCGTCTCATCGACATCTTGAGTGTAGGGTCTACTATCTTTGTGACATTTGTGTCCCCACATATCAGACCACGATACTCTGAAGCGTGCGCCGCAGGCCCCCGGAACGCACTATCAAGATCGACCGACGAACCCCTCCAAGCTACCCCTCCTCACAACCCGTAAAGTAGGCACCGGACCACAGTACGAGTTTGAAACACCGCTCAGAAACGCGCTCTTCATCCAACGCGACTCTCTCCTCCCGGGCAGAACGGCAAGGGCACCCGTTCGCTTTCCTCTCCTCTCTCTATCGATATCATCACCAGAACACGCAGCCCAAACATGGCGGGGGATGACGAAGTCCACGAGGTAAGCGTGTATACCCCTGCATCTGCGGCGAGCACCGACAGGACACTGACACTCCTGTTCTCCCCCAGGGTGCCTCCACAAAGGAGCTCCTCATCGAGGCCTGCCGCCGCAACAACACGGATCTATTTCAAGAGATTGTCGACGGCATTCCCGACGAGGAACAGCTCTCCAAGATCCTCAACGAGACGACAACCGTGCTGGGCAACCACCTCTACCATGAAGCCGCAGCCGGTGGCCACTGTGCGTGCTCCCTGTTCTACACCTTCCTCTCCGCTACATCCTGCATTCGCCCCCCCCCCCCCCTAGTCCCACAAGAAACAGAAAAAAAACCGGACCTAAACCCCAGACGAAATCATCGACCTCCTGCTCGACCAACCAAACTTTGAATGCGACCCCGTCACGCGCATCGACCGTGACACGCCTCTCCACACCGCCATCCGCTGGGTCAACGGCCAGCCGCGGGCCAACTGGCCCTTTGGCGCCTCACTCGTCGACATGATGCTCGAGGCCGGCTCCTCCCCACGCGTCAGGAACAAAGGCGGCCTCACGCCCTTGCAGCTCGTCGACCCCGCGAACAAGGAGCTTCGCGACCTCATCCAGAAGCACGAGTACGCCGCCCTCAACGCCGGCGACTTTGTCAACGTCGAGGCCGCGGCGCCCGCGCAGGGCGGAAAGGCTCACCAGCAGCAGCAACACCAGCAGCAGGAGGTTGAGAGTGACGAGGACGCCGAGTTCAGCGGCAGCGACGACGAGGAGAGAGCCGAGTGGGAGCGTCGACGGAAGGAGAGGAGGGCGCGAAGGGGTTAAGGTACGGCTGCTGTGAGGGAGAGAAACAAGTACGGTTCAATGAGGAGCATTCATCTCATTCATGATCTAGGAGCGATCATGTCTGCGGCTTGACCTGAAAGGCAAAGGTACGAGGGACGAACGGATGATCGACGACATAGATTTCCTAGTTTTTTCCGCAAAGCATGAAGACCTGGCTTGAGACATGAGCACCACCACTTCAATTTTTCATCCAAAGTGTCTGTAGATCTACTAAGTAGTGAACCATGTACATCAACGTTAAGGTGTTGAGGGGGTCGGTGAGCTCGAAACAATTTAGTCTTTAAACTTGATCTAGGTACACAGTGAAGTATAGCATTCTCTCTCGACCAATTCAGGAAGTGCAAGGCCGGCCACTTTCCACCACAATCTCATGTCGTCGTATCGGGTATTCCTGCGCTGAATCAGAAGAACAAAACGAAACGTCCATCAACAACCAAACACAGCCTTGTGTGCGGGACCAGCCCGTCGCGCTGGCTGAAGATTTCTCTCCCACGGCCACGTCCATCTATGGTACGACCAGGAACACGCTACCAACCGCAGCGAAGAGCGTCCAGAACAATGCTGGCCGTGCCAAGCCAACAGCGGCAGCTGTCTCTTCTGCCCTCTTTTCTATGTAGGACAAATTGGAGACTGCAGCTAGGCTTTCGTCTGTCAAGTGACCAGAGGCAGCAACTTCCGACATGTACTGGCCGAGAGTGCGGAGGATGGTGGTACTTCTACCTGCTGGGCAAAAAAGGACTTCCCATCCACCCCCCGAGGGCACGATGAACGTAGACTGCTGGTCATCGAAGGCAAAGCTGTATGCATCGGGGCAAATAGCCTTCATAAGACTTGAGTACCGGCCCGGTTTGCAGATCTCGGCGTCATGGTAGTCGCCGACGCAGCAGTCTTCGTCACGCCCAGTCGCGGCGCATTGGCTTAGGCAGGGGCTGAAGTCAGGCCGCTTGATGTCATCGTCTGGGTACGGGTAGATACCGTCGCCCGGTTTATCAGGAGGATAAGCCAGCAGGGACCAGGGGCACCAATCTCGAGCGCTGTCGTTGGACTCGTATGGTTCCCAGGGAATCGGGTAGGTGCTGTTGCTGTAATCTTGGCCGGACAAGGCGCCTGCGGCCAAGTAGCCGGGCGTGGCGATGCACGCAGCGTTTGTCAGATTGGGTGGGATGAAAGTTGTGTTAGCAGCTGGAATATAATTGATAGCCATTGGGAGGTTGTAGCCATCGACAAGGGAAATGTCGTAGAACGTTTGTGCATTCGAGATCCCACCCGCCAGAGTGAACTCGGCTAGTGTGGCAGGCACTTCACCCTGTTGAAGTCAGTACAAGTAGTTCATCAACCTGAGGCGGAGGAGCATACAGCGAAGCTACACTCGAGTTGGCCAAAACAATCGCCAGTACGACACCTAGCCGACTCGCCATCAACCGTGCAATTTGTCCTTCCCCAGACTCGACCCTGCCACGTCGATCCGATCCATAGAGTCTTTGAATCGCCAGATTCCAGCTCGAAACCTCCGCTATCAGGGCCATCGCCATGTTGAGTCAAAAGTGCCGGCCAGAGAGTGTCTGGGCACTTGTTGGTGATTTTCAATGGTTTCTTGTCGCCCTTCCAGTTGGACGAAGGTCCTTGGCGAGGCGCAATGTAGCCTCTACTGGGGTCAAGATAGCCCGTATCGATATTGAGGTCCCGGCTGGCGGCGGAATGTGTGACCAGGGCAAACAGCGAAGCGATGCATACTGTTTTTGACATGGCTGATCAACGGATGCGCCTGTCGGCGCGTGAAGGTCTTATGTTTGGCGTGTCAGTCTGAACCTCAATGACAGGTGGAATGACGCCGAACAATGGCAAGTCAAGGCGAATACCGGTGTCTAGATCGAGTTCGGTGTTCGAAAGAAGAATATAGACAAGTTTTTGTGTGTGTTTCTTTAGGGGTTGGAGTATGTCAGTGGTCGAAGCTCCAGGCTCGCATAACACATTGCTAACGGCTGCGAGCCTAGACGAAGATATATATCCCGGCAACAGAGTGAGGTCTCAACTGGGCTCAGATGCTTGATCAAGTGACGTATGGATCTAGGGAGAGGATCCGGTAACGATTATCGGACTCGGCCCTGAATGGGCGACAAGCGTACCCCTGTCGGCCATAGCGTCAGAGAAGAAGATGGTGGGCTTGCCGTGAACTTGTTTGGACAGCAAAACCAGGGACACGCTCGCGGGGAGAAGATGGGGAACCTGGTTGGCTGGAGAGAGACCTGTGGGAAGCAGGGGTCGGCGAACAAGGGCCTCTCTGAAAGAGGCACGAGCTGTAGGGTTGGTAAATATACAGCGTAGTCTTCATAAGGGAGTCGTCGAAGGATATTGGTGTGTTGCAGACAGGCAATGCGCTCCCGACCTCAAGCCCTTTTTGATTCGAAGGGAATACATCCTGAGCTCCCACGGGGCGCCTACCTTTGGTGGCATTCCATTCAGTACAAGAGGAAGCGACATTCTACAAGATGTGACCTTTGTTGCCGTCATATTCGGAAGGGGCTCTCTTGCCAGGGTTACATATTGACAGGTATGGCGGTCAGGGTCCGAAAGGAACAGAACAGGGCAGACCGACATGGAGGAAGAGAATGAGCCTTGGTAAGGCTGGCTCGCTTGGGCGGCGGGACGATGACGCAGGAGGGGAGGGGTGGTCGTGGCTGCCCAGTTTCTGGACATGCAGGGTCGCCTTTGACCTGAGCCCCCCACATAAGAAATGGTGGGTCTTGGCGCCGTGGCGTTCACCACAGCCACAATCACTCCAACTCCCAACGGCGGCAGGGTATCGCTCATAAGAAGGCAAAGTCAGCATACTTGAGGGGCAATGTCCCCAAAGTTGCAAAGCAGAAGGGTTACTGCCAGGATTGATGGTGAGTATGGTGCTTCTTGGGAAATGTCCATTCCCGCGACCAGATCACCCGGGTCGAAAGCATCAGCCACGGACCGTGTTATCATCATGACCATAGGCTGGCTGGATCCAGCTCGCTCTCTCGAACCATGAAGTCTTGTAAAGCTTTATCATCTGTCATCATCGTCTCTTGAAAATTGCCCCGCTCTTGAAGCAGTAGCCGTCAGCTCCTTTGTATGTATATACCGCTCCATCCTAGGACAGTCATGCCCAGGCCCATTTCCTCTTTTCAAGGTATCATCGGTTTTAAAAACGAAACACGCATGCTCAACAGCCTCATCTGTCACCCCAGCCTGCCGACCGTCGTTTATCGGAAGCGTGCGCGGCATCGTCCCATGACTTCACCTTGGCACACCAACTCAGCACTGAACTCTGATCCGTCGAGAGTGAGGTAAATATCAAAATAGACGCGATAGAAGGTGCCCTGCGGCGTGTCCATCCTCTCGAAATCCTTCTCGAGGTTCTTTCTCGACAAATCAGAGGTGAGCGTGACAACTTCCTTGATACCTGCGGTGGTGTCAGTCAAACGAGCTCGTCAACGGAGGCCTGAGGGGGGAAGACTTACGGGGATCCTTAGTGTATTCGGGACAAACATCATCATCACAGGCGTATAGGATATCCTCGTACATGAGTGTGGCGCCTGGTGCAACCTGGCGGAAGAAGGAGACCTTGACCGGCTCACCAATCTTGACCTTTTGTCCCTTTTGCACAAAAATCTGGCGCGTGAATTTGCATCGGTCTTTGCCGTCGAGGGAGGGAACGCGGTACGCCTCGGGGTGGTAACCCTCCTTGAAGGGCTGCAGTGTTGCCATGAGATAGTGGCGACGCGCTACACGGTGGGTGACAACACGCTCTGTGATGCCAGCCGTGACAGCGCCCTTGACAATGGCGGCGACAGAGTCCATTGGCCGTACGACCTTGGACTGGAATTGCGGGGGCACGTGGAGGCGAATCTGTTGGAAAAGGTATTCCGAAGCACCGAAGCCACCGACAACCAGAATGTTTTGCAGTGTCCGGTTCTGGGCCTGAATAGCAATAATTTGATTCCTGACGAGCTCCAGGATGCGGTTGACGACAGGCTCGAAACACTGAAGAATCTCTTCGTTGGTGAAGGTCATGTACCCCTCTTCAATACCGGCCTCGGGGAATTCAGCCTCGATACCAACATCGACAGCCCACTTCTGACCGTTGTTGCGGAAGTCGGCCTTGATTCTGTTCTCGAAGTCCATGATACATTTGGCATAGACACGGCCTGCTGTCTTGGAGCCGTCGGGCAACTTCATCTTACGGATCTTGGTGCGCAAGATGTTGCTGAAGTTGCGGTTCAGCGCCGTCGAACCGCACGAGTCACCGGAGCCTGCTGTACACTCGGCAACGGTGAAGGGGTTCTCATCCTCGACTTCGTACGCGATCAAATCGACGGTGCCACCACCGCAATCGACGATCAAGACGGCATCGTGAACCTTGAGGTTCAGAAGACCAGTCTTGGAACAGAAGATGGCGGCAGCTTCGGGCTCAGACACTAATGTCAACCTATTGTCGTTCTCATCCCTCAGAAAACCGGCCTGAATGGCGGCAGCGCGCGTCGCGGCCTTTCCAGCATCGTTCCAGATGGCTGGCACAGTCAGATAGTAGCGAATGTTGCGCTCCTCGCGGTTGAAGACCTCGCCGAGGGTCTTTTGTAGCGCAGATCGCATCGCCTGACGAAGTTTAAATAAGTAGTCGGCTGCCACATCAATCTCGGACTTGCCAGGCGGCAGGGGCGGAAGGTTGATCGGGTCGATGTACGTATTGCCGGACAGCATAAGCTGCAGCTTGAACCACTCAACCTTTTGCACACCTGGCTTTGGGTACCCCGTTGGCGCCAGCGCATCGGCGATATCAGGACCCCAGCCCACGACCTTCTGGTACTGGTCATAGTAGAGAACGGTGGGGATCTGAACATCAATGACAAGTCAGCTTACGGGCTCAACGGTTCTGGGATGGGGTGTATGGGAACGTTGCGGACCTTCTGCTTGGTGTACGATCCTGCGCCCGGCCACTCAGTAATGATATCTTCCTTCGCCTCGTTGTTCGTGGCAAAGGCGAAGGCGACGCCGGAGAAAGTTGTTCCCTGTGTTGGTCATGGTTGTCAGCTTGCACTCCATCGTTTGGGGGGGGGGCAGTAGCGCGTAGGGTACGACTCACAAAATCAATACCGACGATCAGCTGTGCCTTGTTTCGGCTGCTGCCCTCGGCCTTCTGGCGCCTGGTCCTTGGACGGGGCGCGGGGGGTATTGTTGTCCGAGAGG